AACGGATCTTCAAGGGCTTTTGGGCTTAATCTTGAAGGATGAACGGATGTGTGGATTTGTTGAGGTTGTTGATCCAAAGGGGCCGTTGGGGCTTGATCTTAGGATGAACGGATCTTCAAGGGCTTCTGGGCTTAATCTTGAAGGATGAACGGATGTGTGGATTTGTTGAGGTTGTTGATCCAAAGGGGCCGTTGGGGCTTGATCTTAGGATGAACGGATCTTCAAGGGCTTCTGGGCTTAATCTTGAAGGATGAACGGATGTGTGGATTTGTTGAGGTTGTTGATCCAAAGGGGCCGTTGGGGCTTGATCTTAGGATGAACGGATGATGAGCGATGAACACTTTCTTCAAGGGCCGTCGGGGCTTGATCTTGAGTTGGTGGAAGTTCTTCAAGGGCGTTGGGGCTTGATCTTGAAGGATGAACGATGATGAACGTGAACGAGTCGGGTGACGCGTTGAACATTTCCTCAAGGGGCCGTCGGGGCTTTGATCTTGAGTTGGTGGAAGTTCTTCAAGGGCCGTCGGGGCTTGATCTTGAAGGTGGATTTGACGAAGAACGAAGATTGCTTTCTTGATCCGTTCGGGATTTGCTTGAAGCGTAAGATTGCCCCTCGGTTTTCTTGGGCTTTCCTTCACAGGCTTCTTTCTTTCTTCCTTCCTTCCTTCCTTTCTTCCTTCTTTCTCCCTCCTTCTTCTCTTTCTTCTTCCTCTTCCTTCCTTCTTCTTTCCCTTCAAAATGAATGCCTTGGCCTCCTATTTTAGAATTCCCAAACTTGATTTTTGGATTTAAATAATCAGATGAATAAATCATTTCGCCAGGTATTGGACACGGTGTCACACTTGATGACTTTTCCAATTTATTTCGATTTTTTCGTTGAATCACACGCTACATGTAAAATTTATGTGACACGTGAACGTTGAAATTTTAATTATTGATCAACATTCATTTCACCGAAATTTTGATGTCTACAAATGCCCCCACTTCAAGGCGCGTCGTAGGCATGTGCTTGTCACGTGTGGAAGATGCGTTTTGAAGTCCTTAATGTAGATGTCAACCCAAGGGCCGTCGAGGCTTGATCTTGAATTGGGCTGGAAATTTCTTCAAGGGCCATCGAGGCTTGATCTTGAGCTCGACTGGAAGATTTTCTGGTTTCCTCCAATCGTTGATTTTCCACAAGCTTACTCTTGAACTGAGCTGGAGGATTCTTTTGGTCTCCTCCGAAGGTCTGAGCTTACTCCTTTGATCTGGAGTTGAATTTGATTCAAGGGTGGTGAACACTTGATTTTGAATCGGACTTATGATTTCTTCAAGGGCCATCAAGGCTTGATCTTGAACTGGGCTGGAGGATTCTTTTGGTCTCCCCCTATCGTTGATTTTCCTTTGTGCTACTCTTGAATTGGGTAGCAGGATTCAGACACATGGCAGGCAAGCAGGAGGTGGAAGTGATGACCTGTTTCTTTATTCAATCTTTCCCCAATTCGTATTGAAGAGGGTAGATCGGAAAACTGACTCCAAGTGCCGTCTGATTGCTCTTTTCACTTTGTCATGCAAGTAATAACAAGGACAAAGGAAAGGACATGGAGAAAGCATGATATAAGATACCTTTGCTTTTGAAGAAGCAGCGAATGAATCAGCACATATATTTGTTGTGCTTGTCTCCACATGCTTTGATGTATCATTTTCACTTGTCTTACTTGCTCCCTTTGCAGAAGTGGTATTTCCTTATGCAGGTTTGGCATCTTCTCGTGTAGTATTCGTCCTCTGATGCAGGAGTTGAATGCAACCTTTGCATTTAAATGGTGCTTCAAAACATTACTTCTCAGCGACGATGAGTACTCGAGAGCAATGCAAGGTAAGCAACCAGGCAAAGGTTCCAGGCAATCAGTTCCAGGTCGGAAGTTTGATTTCAGGTTCCGACTGATAACTCTATTTCCCCTTTTCCTGCATGTAAGAGCAAGGACAAAGAAAAGGACAGGGAAAAAGCATGATATGAGATACCTTTGCTTTCGCCCTTGATGATATGAGATACTTTTGCTTTTGAAGAAGCGGTGAATGAATCAGCACATGCTTCCATCTACCGTTTCCTCCTGGGTCATCTGTACTCCAGGCATCTGGTATCATCTTTGGGGAAGAGAAAAAAATTGAGTATTTTGAGATGTTTTGCTGGGAGTGTACTCTCGGAGGTGAGGAAGAGTTGGGCTTTTTTTTTCTTGTTTGCAGGTTTGCCTTGCCATAAAAGATGAAGGTCGACATATATAGGGATTTCCCAATAGCAAGTGGTGGTACTGTTCTTTTACCCTTGTCGACAAAGGTTTTGATTCCGCAAATTCGGCTTTTTTGAAATAGTGACGACTCTTCGATCTTTGAATACGCCTCTTTGATTTCTGAACGACGCCTCTTCGATTTCTGAACGAGCGTCTCTTTTGACAAAGTGGCACGCGTTTTCTGAAAAGCAGAGAAAGCGTCGCCGAACTTTGCGCTTGTCAGCTAAAGATGTGTAGCTGCGATGATGACCTCCACGTGATCTTTTGACAAAGTGGCACCCGTGCTTTGAAAAGCCGCGAAAGCGTCGCCAGCCTCCACGTGTTTTCAACTTTGTCGGAGATCTTTTGACAAAGTTGAACGCGTTTTCTGGAAAGCCGAGAAAGCGTCGCCTAACTTATGCCGGAAAATCTAGCTTTTGAGATTTGCAGAGCGATGTCTCTTCACTTTTGAACAAGCGGCCCTTCGATTGCTGAACCAACGCCTCTTTGATTTCTGAGCAAGCGCCTCTTCGATTTCTGAGCAAGCGCCTCTTCGATTTCTGAGCAAGCGCCTCTTCTTTCTTTATAGAGGTATTGATCACCTCTAACATGCACACTTTGAAGGTTGCTCATTCCTGAAAATCATCTCCGGCCTTTTGAGTTTTAACTTCATCCACCCATCTCTTTTAATACCTTTGAAAAATGGCTAACCCATCGAACCTTAGCTTAGAATTGAGTCTCAGCAGTGATCCGGTTGCGCCGCTTCAAGGTAATGTATGGTGCCCTTCTTTCTTATCTTCTAACGGTCCTCTTACAGGTGAAGACTCCGTGATGCAGGACGCCACAACAGCTACAATAGTAGCTAGGAACCTCCTCACACCAAAAGATAGTAGGCTGCTTTCAGGACGGTCCGATGAGTTGGCCGTTCAAGAGTCCCTCGCTCTTAGTGTTCAGTGTGCGGGCTCTGTGTCCAACATGGGCCAACGCCTGCTTGCTCGGTCCCATCAGGTGGAATCATTGATGGCAGAGGTGGAAGATCTTAAGCAGGAGATTAAACAGCTTAAGTACGAGAATAGAAGTTTGCATGTGCTTGCAAATAACTATTCGTCGGGCATGAAGAGGAAGCTTGATGAGATGCAAGAATCTCAAGGTCGCATTCAAAATGACCGTCAAAGGCTTGCGTCTTTCTTCCAGAGGCACATTTTTCCGGCGTCATCAAGCGTTCCACCAAGTATTGGGGCCTCGAATGATCTATCTTCGGTGCTTCCTGCTCCTGGAGTTTGGCCAAGTAGTGGGGCTTCACGTGAACGACCTTTGTGAAAGCTCCATCTTTTTTTTTTTTTTTTTTTTTTGTACAAACTTGTAATTTCTGGAAAATCAATGAACATGCTTTGTTTTATTTAGTGTATTGTGCTAAATACAGAGAAAACATGTACATCACCGTCCATCATCATTTTTTTTATTCTTTCCTTTGCTTTCGGTGGCGCTGATCCACCGTTCATTTATATATATATATTTCAGATGGTGCCAGAAGCACCACCATTGTTTTTTCTTTCTTTTTATTATATATATATATTTTTTTTCCTTTTTGCACATGCCTCCAGAAGCACCATCATTTTTCTTTTTAATTTTTTTTATTATTCTTTTAAAAGATGCTTCCCAGCATCATAATTACTACTTTTTATTTTTTTATTTTTATTTTTTCTTTTGAAATATGCTTCCCGGCATAATCATTGCTACTTTTTTTTCTTTTTTTTTTTTTTTTTTTTTTTTTTTTTTTTTTTTTTTTTTCTTTATAAGGCCATCTGCAAGATTGAGTTCGTGGGTGAAAACCCAGGCCGAGTCCGAGAGAAGACGGAGGAGGTCTTTGGGTGTGAGTTGACAAACTTTGATTTTGTCAATCACATTCAAAGGCAGCTGTAGAGGCAAGCAGACGGATGAGATCTTTGGATGTGAGTTGACAAACTTTGTTTTTGTTGATCACATTCAAAGGCAGCAGCCATGGTGGAGGTGCAGAAACAGCCAGAGCTTGAGGCAGAGCAAAGCGTCGAGCTTCATGATCGGCTAGTCGTTTGACAGCGGTCACTGAAGTTTTTCGCTGATTTTGACCACGGTGGCCAGAGTGAAGCTGAGGGACTTGCAGGCGAGGAGCTGCATGGATGGAGAGGAAGAAGTGCCTTGTCGTGTTCCGTCACTTTCTCTTAACCTCTCTTACTGACTTCATGTTCTTTTGTTGCAGAAAAAGGGAGCGGAGCTCTTGGATTTGATTGGAAATTCACAGGGTGGTGTTGGACTTGCAGCGGCGGCCATGCTGATTGGGGCAAACCGGGTCATACCTATCAACCTCCAAGGTCATAGTCTCCAAGCACTCAGCATGGTAAACATGTCCACATACCAACACAGAAACCACTGAAGTGTCGCTGCCAGCAATAATTTTCTGGCCGCTCCATGAAGATCTCTCTGTTAAGAGCTTTGAGTAGACACCACAAGACTGCAAATCTATGGAAGGAGAACACGAGAACCTGCTGCTTGATCCACTTAGCTTTCCATGGATAGAACCAAAGTGCTCACTGTCAAAAGACAATCTTTCGCTTTGAGAATACGCTACGAGCTCAGAAAAGGTACGCATTGACCAGCCATCAGAAGACCCGCCTAGAGATCCAGTTGCCAATTCATTGCTGCAAGTGGAGAGTACAAATGATTGCCTTCCTTCAGAGATTGAGTTGTTATTTGGAGATTTTAATCCCAATATCCGACTATCAGAAACCTGTCTCAACAGTTGATGTCCTGGTAATTGATACCGCACTTGAACCCAGTAGGGCACCAATCCACAAACTGGATTGTTCTCTTGGTCTTGATGGTGGCCATAGCGGCATTCACATCCTTGGGAACGACATCACCACGGTACATCAAGCAGCAGGCCATGTACTTGCCATGGCGAGGATCACACTTGGCCATCATGGAAGCAGGCTCAAATGCACTGTTGGTGATCTCAGCCACCGAGAGCTGCTCGTGGTACGCCTTCTCAGCAGAGATCACCGGAGCATACGAGGAAAGCATAAAATGGATCCTGGGGTATGGAACCAAGTTAGTCTGGAACTCGGTCACATCCACATTCAGAGCTCCGTCGAACCTCAACGACGCTGTCAACGAAGAAATGACCTGAGAGACTAGGCGATTCAGATTGGTGTAGGTAGGACGCTCGATGTCGAGGGACCTGCGGCAGATGTCGTAGATGGCCTCATTGTCGAGCAACACAGACACGTCGGTGTGCTCCAGCAGAGAATGGGTGGAGAGAACACTGTTGTAAGGCTCCACAACAGATGTAGAAACCTGAGGAGAAGGGTACACAGTGAATCCCAGCTTGGATTTCTTTCCGTAGTCAACCGAAAGCCGCTCCAGAAGCAATGATCCGAGACCCGATCCGGTACCGCCACCGACGGCATTGAAGACCAAGAACCCTTGAAGCCCGGTGCAGTTGTCAGCGAGTTTCCTGATGCAGTCGAGGCAGATTTTGCGAGCGTCGACGAGGGAGATGCCGTCGCCGTCCGATTTGCAGCGCCAGCCAACGTGGGTGGTTGTTGACGCGTTTGTCGGCGACTAAGAGCACATCGGCGACAGCCAAGATCTGATCTGAGCCCTCCAGCAGCGGCTCCGTCTCCTGAGCTAGAATTGCGAAGTCGCGGCAGCTGCTCAGATCCCGGCTGTGTAGAAGCTTCTCGGCGATTATGTTGTCGAGGTCCTCGTCGGTGGTGAGGGAGATTAAGGAGTCGAGGTCCTCGCTGGGGAGCTGGTACTTGAGGGTGAAGGGTCGGACGCGGAGAAGACGGCGTCGCAGAGGTAGGTGGAGATGGCGGTGCTGAGGTCGAGGGTGAGGTCCCAGGAGCTGACGCACGAGCCGGGACTCACTGAATCGGGGTTGAGTGAGTTCTTGAACTCCTTGAGAGCTTCAATGTCGGCCCAGAAAGTCTTGGATTCTGCTAAAAGTTGCAAACTTGCAGCTGAAATTATCAAAATAATCAGGGAGGACAGAGACAAATTGTGTATTTGAACACCCATTTGGTGGTTTTTTTTTTTTTTTGTTGAAATTTGATCAGTGCGAGGGGCTCGGATCTGGAGATCTGAGAGGGACTCTGTGATTTTTGGTTTAGGGAAGGAGAGGAAGTTGATTTGAGTGATGGGTGTCCTGGAGCCGATGGGCTTTGAGAGCTGGGCCCGGATTTGTAGCTGGGCTCGCTGGCTTTGGAAAGAGGAGTAGAAGGTTTTGGAGCCGACCTCCTTTTTTTTTTTTTTTTTTTTTTTTTTTTATATATTTTTTTTTTTTTTTTTTATTTTTGATAGAGAATATAAATATATTTTGTTTTTTTTTTTATTTTTTTTTTAATACATAGTAACATATGTATATATATATATATATATATATATTTTTTTTTTTTTTTTCTTTTTTTTTTTTTTTTTTTTTTTTTTTTTTTTTTTATTTTTTTATTTTTTTTTTTTTTAAGTAGAGAATATATATATTTTTAATACATAGTGACATATGTGTGTATATATATATATATTTTTTTTTTTTTTAACAGGTACTTACTGCATTCATAGATTTCCTTGCTGTCTTTTGACGGATTACCCATGTTCACCATTGGTGGCAGCTTCTTGTGAATTTGGAATTGGTGACGGAGTGAGCAGGATGTGGGTGCAACTGTACTCTTTGCCTGGTGCTTGTTGCAGTGCGCCACTTTTTACCATGTGGTGCTGTGCAAAAGACTGCAGCGGGATTTCGCTGTGTAGTGCCTTTTGGTCACGGTTTTCCCTCGGCGGTGACTTTGTTGTGCACATTGACCTTACTGCTTGTCGTGAGCTCTTTACCACTGCTACTTGAAGCTTGTTCCAAAGTGTCACTTTTATCGTGTGTGGTTGTGCAAAAGACTGCAGCGAGTTTATGCTGTGTAGTACCTTTTGGTCACAACTTTCCTCGGTGGTGACGTTGGTGTGATGCTCACCCTTGTAATACGGCTTTGTAACCAAATTATTCCTTTAAAGAAATAAAGTATTCATAGTTTGAATTCGCTTTTTTTTCTTCAAAGTGTTTGTGTTTTTTGTTGGTGATGTGACTGTACTTGAAGTTTTGAAGTTTCAAGTTGCCTACGTACCCTTGGTTGAGGAGGGATCAAGTCATGACGTAGTTCAAATGAGTGATGATTTTGATGATGATTTTGATGATGATTTTGATGATGATTTTGCCATACACAGTTTATGCTCTTGCGGGCCAGGAGCGTTTTGGTGCCGTTTGCATTTTCAGCTCATGCAGGCAAGGAGCGTTTGTTGTCGCCTTTTATGCTCGTGCGGGCAAGGAGCTTTGGTTGTCGCCTTTTAGGCTCGTGCGAACGAGGAGCTTTTCTTTGAATTTGTCAAACCATCTTAGAGGGGCATTCCTTGCAATCTTCATAGCAATGAGTCTTGACCGAGCGATTGAAGAAGTCTTTGGGGAAGAAATCGCGCATTGTGATGGCAACGGACGATCTTGATGTCATCACTTCATCATCCTCAACACTTTCATGTAGCTTTGAAGGTTGACGGTAGTTGCTTTGCCCCCTTTCCGATTGGTGAACTTGTGGAGGAGACCTATGTTTCTTGTGCATTTTCTTTGGAGTGACATAAGTCCATCCTTCAACTTCACTTGACTTGACTGACATGGTTTTGGAGCATGCCCCCAGCGGTTGAGGTGAAGATTTTGAGTTCAAAGAGCCAGAAGTGACGGTGGTATAGTTTGACTTCACCACATCATTAAGATCTAGCTCGATGATCCCTTTCTGAGCCAACTTCATGATGAGATCTTTTAGTACAAAGCACTTTTCCGTCGGATGACTAATGAAGCGGTGGAATTTGCAGTACCTTGGACTGTCAGTACGGTTCATATCTTCTGGCCGTTTGCACTCAGGTAGGTCGATCACCTTTTTGTCAAGCAAGTCTTTCAACATGGCAACCACGTCAGAGTCGGGGAATGGATAAGTCTTCTCCTCAAGCTCCTTCAAAGTGTGTCTACGTGTCTCTTGATCACGAAAAGCTTCGGTTTGAATCGCCTTGCTTCGTGTAGGGATTTTGACTGGAGTTGTGTTGACCGTCATTGCTTCCTTGGTGGGTTTCCACGTAGCCTTATCCACCTTTGGCCCCAAAACTTTGTCATTCTTGTAGTCGGCGATCTGTTCTTTCTTCCCATGACGGTTGATGCTTAACTCCATGTCATGGGCGCGGGTGGCTAACTCCTCAAATGTTCGTGGTTTGATGCCTTGAAGGATGTAGTGTAGTCCCCACTGCATGCCTTGAACGCACATCTCAATGGCAGAGGTTTCAGAAAGCCGATCTTTGCAATCCAGACTTAGAGAACGCCATCTATTTATGTAGTCAACGACAGGTTCATCTTTCCACTGTTTCGTGCTGGTCAGCTCTAGCATGCTTACAGTACGACGAGTGCTGTAGAAACGGTTGAGGAATTCCCTTTCTAGCTGGTCCCAACTGTTGATAGACTCAGGTTCGAGGTCAGTGTACCAGTCAAAAGCATTACTTTTCAGCGAACGCACGAACTGTTTGACGAGGTAGTCTCCCTCTGTCCCAGCATTGTTGCAAGTTTCAATGAAATGGGCGACATGTTGCTTCGGGTTGCCTTTTCCATCGAACTGCATGAATTTTGGGGGCTGATAACCCCTTGGCATCTTCAAAGCATCAATCTTCTTGGAGTAAGGCTTTGAGTACAGTACGGAGTCATGCGAGCTTCCTTCGTACTGTGTCTTGATAGTGCTTGCAATCATCTCCTGTAGCTGCTGGATAGAGAGAGATCCCATGGATGTCGTTGCCTGGTCTAGCTTGGGCTTCTCTTCGACTTTCTCCGCTGGTGGCTCCTCTTCTTCGTCGCCTTCTTTCTTTAATAGGCCAACAATTGGATCGACTTTCACGTCGGGCAGCGCATCTAGTTGGTTGACAAGTGCGGCAATCTGCAAGTCCTTCTCTTCCACAGTTCGTGTGAGCTTTGCGATTGCTTCATTCATCTGAGCTAGCTGCTCCTCGATTGAAGTTGCTCCAGTGGTCATGACTTGCATGGTTGTACTGCCGCTTGAATCAGCGTCGGAGAGTAGGGACTCTGAGTATTTCCTTGGGCTCTCCCCTTTTGATGCCCTTAGCGAGGCTAGGGTGATCACAGGCTCGTGCCTCAGGTGCTCTTGTTCCTTTGACAGAGTTAATGCAGGGGCGGAAGCTGCGGCAAAAAGATCTCTTGCCTTACTTCGGGTTATAATGCCCGAAATATCACCACTTGCGGCGATGATGTTCTTGTTCTTTGCTTTGTTTGCAGGAACAGCTTGATCCTTTCTTGATGCCATTTGCGTTTTTTGATGATTTGAGGATAGAGATGAGAGGTAGAGATAGTCCCACTGGGCGTGCCAAATTTGTAAACACGAGAAATTCCTGAAACAAGCGACAAGAATACGTGTACAAAATAATATTTTGTATTAATGATTTTGGGGTTACAATCTCTTTGTAATTTGGTCCTCTGATTCTATCTTCGTAGGGTGTGGGTTTGTGGATGAGTTGTTGATCCAAAGGGCCGTCGGGGCTTGATCTAAGGATGCACAGCTGATGAATGGATCTTCAAGGGGCGTTGGGCTTGATCTTGAAGGTTGATGGATGAACGGATCTTCAAGGGCTTTTGGGCTTAATCTTGAAGGATGAACGGATGTGTGGATTTGTTGAGGTTGTTGATCCAAAGGGGCCGTTGGGGCTTGATCTTAGGATGAACGGATCTTCAAGGGCTTCTGGGCTTAATCTTGAAGGATGAACGGATGTGTGGATTTGTTGAGGTTGTTGATCCAAAGGGGCCGTTGGGGGCTTGATCTTAGGATGAACGGATCTTCAAGGGCTTCTGGGCTTAATCTTGAAGGATGAACGGATGTGTGGATTTGTTGAGGTTGTTGATCCAAAGGGGCCGTTGGGGCTTGATCTTAGGATGAACGGATCTTCAAGGGCTTCTGGGCTTAATCTTGAAGGATGAACGGATGTGTGGATTTGTTGATCCAAAGGGGCCGTTGGGGCTTGATCTTAGGATGAACGGATCTTCAAGGGCTTCTGGGCTTAATCTTGAAGGATGAACGGATGATGAACGATGAACACTTTCTTCAAGGGCCGTCGGGGCTTGATCTTGAGTTGGTGGAAGTTCTTCAAGGGCGTTGGGGCTTGATCTTGAAGGATGAACGGATGATGAACGATGAACACTTTCTTCAAGGGGCCGTCGGGGCTTGATCTTGAGTTGGTGGAAGTTCTTCAAGGGCGTTGGGGCTTGATCTTGAGTTGGTGGAAGTTCTTCAAGGGCGTTGGGGCTTGATCTTGAAGGATGAACGGATGATGAACGATGAACACTTTCTTCAAGGGGCCGTCGGGGCTTGATCTTGAGTTGGTGGAAGTTCTTCAAGGGCCGTCGGGGCTTGATCTTGAGTTGGTGGAAGTTCTTCAAGGGCCGTCGGGGCTTGATCTTGAAGGTGGATTTGACGAAGAACGAAGATTGCTTTCTTGATCCTTCGGGATTTGCTTGAGAGCTTTAGAGTTTCAAGGCTTCTTTCTTTCTTCCTTCCTTCCTTCCTTTCTTCCTTCTTTCTCCCTCCTTCTTTCTCTTCTTCCTTCCTTCCTTCCTTCCTTCTTTCTCCTTCAAAATGAATGCCTTGGCCTCCTATTTATAGAATTCCAAAACTTGATTTTTGGATTTAAATAATCAGATGAAATAAATCATTTCTGCCAGGTATTGACACGTGTCACACTTGATGACTTTTCCAATTTATTTCGATTTTTCGTTGAATCACACGCTACATGTAAAATTTATGTGACACGTGAACGTTGAAATTTTAATTATTGGTCAACATTTATTTCACCGAAATTTTGATGTCTACA